ACATTTTTCGATTTATTAATATTGATTTATTTTTTTTTATCTCGCAGATAAAGTTGTAAAATGCGAGCTAAGGTAAACATTAATTTTAAGTTACGTCGTTTGAATTTTAAAATTAAAGTTACTTTGATTTTGTAACAATTCATTAGTTAGTTTCTCATTTATACATCAAATGCAAACATTGCAATTTATATATAGTAAAAATTAAAATAATTTTTCAACTTTGCAGTGGAGAAAGAAGCGTATGAGGAGGTTGAAGAGAAAGAGACGAAAGATGAGGGCCAGGTTGGTAACTATTGCCTAACTAACTTTGATTTTTTCGACTTTCAATGTATCGCTTGTTAAATGTTTAGCGGTTTGTTTTTTAGGCCTTGTGCTATGAGTGCCAAAAGTTTAAAATAAAAATTAGCAAAATGAGATGTGGCAATCTATTTCACAACAGTCGTCGATGTATTAAGCAAGTAATCTAGTAAGGTTTAATAATTTATTTATTTCTTTATATTTCGTTTTGGGTCAGACTGATTGGCTGAGTGGCTTGTTTGCAATAAAATCATGACCAGATGGCAATTTCATGTTGGCTCAGGAGAAAGCTAGTAAATGTTCATAAACAGATGTTCAGGTTTAAGTTATTTTGAAAAAATGAAAAGTATAATGGTCAAATAGGTTGGCTTGTGTTTCCCGACTTTTAATAATTGTTTTATGTTGACTGATCATCAGTGTTGGGTAAACCCAGAGACTGCAAACTGGTTTTTCCAGTAATGTTTATGTCAACAGTTTAAAGAGACTCATAAGCTCCTCCCACAGTGCAACTAATACTTGAACAAGATACAGCTTACTTGTTCATTGCTTTGCGACTGTATAATGTACATTGAAAAAGAAAATTAAATTTTTGGGTAATTTTTTACAAATGTTATTGAATATTTAAAAATGCTAAGTGCTCGACAATGCAATCCACTCTTTTGGATCAAAATATAACCTAAATTTAAATGCTAGACTCCCGTTATGAGAAATGTCATAGCCCAGTTTCTTATTCTACGTCAACTAATAGTTTAAATAGATCTTTCCGCAAATTGTGAAGTAAAAATTAAAGGAAAAACGAGTTTTTGAAGAAATTATTTTTTTAAATGTTATTGAATTTAAAATTGAAAAACATGAATGTAAAATGTTTGCCAAAAAAGAATAATTCATACGACATAATATGTACAGATGAGCTCAAGGGCTCTTTGGGCAAAAGTTTATATTTAGAACTACGACGTTTGTTTATATTCACTATCTCTAAAAGAGATGAAAATAAGCCCCTACTGAAATTTGTACGCATTACACGTATTTATTATAATTTGTATGTATATTACACGTTATTTGTACGTATATTATAATTTGCACGTATAATTTAGGCATATAACAAAATTTTTTGGATAGCATATAANAT